ATTTCACATTGTTTTCTTTTTTTAAACCAAATCTTCAAAATCCATGTGTATTTCTCCACTTACAGTACATCTGAATCTGCACTTGTCTCATTTCCAGTACTTAGTCACCAAGGATTTCTACTGGCTGCTGCCATTTGGGCAGCACTGGCCAACAGAGGAAATTTGCTCCGAAGGGTCATTTCATCCCTTCTTGAACTCTGCCTTCTATTTGCCCTCTCATCCTGACCTGCCTTCTTCTCTTGGTCTTTTCAGATGTGCACTCATATGTTTGAATTTTTATTATGAACACAGTTGGAATGAATGCAGGGTAATGTTTTGATATAAACTTACATTGTAGAATAATTAAATTGAGCTAATTAACAAATGCATAACCTCACATATTTCAAGAGTGAGATTATTTTCATTGTTTTGGTTTAGTTATGAATTTCCAGATGTACTGCATTGTGATTGTACCATGTGATCTATATAATTTCTTCTTTTGGACTCTAGTTTTCCATAGATGTGAAAGTGATTTGTCTACTAAATAGACAAATGTTTATTTATTATCTCACTATGTTACACACAAGCATTCTATTTTTGTTGATGTTATAACTTTCATTATATTAAATAAATATTATTTATTATATATAATTTAATATGTCATTCAATTTTTCTGGCCTCAAAAGATATATTGTCAGATCGAAAGTCTAATATTGTCATCCTGATTTTTGCATTAATTTTTGCAAGTGACAACTTATTTATTCATTTATTTTGAGTCTTCTAGATCATGCATTTCTAAATGTATCTTTTGAGGAGAGGATATAATTAGACTTTAATATTTGTCTCAACCTGAACATTTGTACTTTAATGGGGATCTTATTTAATTTGGTTTTTTCAAAAGTTACTCAACATATTTATTTCACTAGTGATTACCTTTAAGTTTTAAAAAATAATTTGAGCCCACTTTTCTTTATTTAGATCATAAATTGAAACTTGGAGAATTTTATTGATCCTTTCTTATATAAATTAAGAAATATAACATGATAATTTCCTTTACTCCATTAATCTACTTTTCAGTACAGGCTAATGGAATCTAGAATTCCTGATCAACCTTATTTACATATTTTATCTGATTTGTTGTCTTTTTCAGGAACTCTTTTTACATTTTTCATTGCCTGCACATAAACTAGTTCATAATAATGCTCACTAACAAATTTCTAATACCACAGCTTCCCCAGGCTTCTGCATTCTTGCTTTTTATTTTGATGCTTTTTCTGATGAGCTCAAGCATATCCAAAGCTGGAAACCAGATGTGTATGAGATTTATCTTTGAAATTCAAAATATTCACTAGAATATGTAGACAAAATGAGCTTTGGTTTCAAGGGCTTCAATGACTTTACTCACCAGGCAGTACTTCAATTGAATTATTTTTGGGATAAATGATTTTGGGGATATTTCCTCCATATCCAGTTCTTTCTGCTAAGAAATCATACCCAAAAGAAATAGCATTAGAATCACATATGACGCATTCCCAAGTACTTTAACGCAGTAGAATGAAGCGTGGCAGAGAGACCATCAATAAACATTGGTCAAGAAAAAGCAAAACCCACAGTGTAACAAGATATCACTCTATGAATAATATTTTTCAAACAGAAATAACTGAATTGCTAAAAAACAAAACAAAACTAGAAGCTGAGCTATCAAGAGAGTGATTGCTGAATTTTGATAGACAATGACTAAAGGCTGTTATATTTTGGTATAAGTATAAATGCTGAGATTGTTTATAATAAAATCTTACTACCTAATAATACAAATACACTTTTCATGCAGTGGCTACAACAAAAGCTCTGGCCTAGGTCGCAGCTTGAGGGAAATAGCAACCCAATTGTTTTGTCTTCAGTTCCACTCCCGCCTCCCCCAACTCCACATCTCCAAATTATTTACACCCTTTCTTTTTCTGTTATTTTTCCATCTCTCTCATCCTAACACCCTACTTTACGATCATCTCCCTGTATTGATTACCTGCCCCTTAACTTTTCTCCCTTCTTCCTTTGGCCATTTGGTCTACCAAAATTCAGCAATCACTCAAATGTCCCACATTTCTCCCATCTATTTGGAATGGGATATGGAAAAGTTATAAGAGAGAAGCTAGGAAAAAGGCAAAAACATGTGCCCTTTACGATGGCAATAAAAATTACACATTCTACAAACTAATCACATTCAGTATATCCCAAGCAGAAGTTATCCCCAGTTAGTTAATGCACCATCGCCCACTAGATTGCACACATGTAAAATCTGGAACTCATTGTAGGCAACAGCTTTTCTCTCATGTTTTGCATCTTATCAGTCACTAAGTCCAACTATTTTTACTTCCTGACATTTCTCAGTCTGTGCCTCTATCTACACTCCTACGCCCTCTATTTTCTAATCCCTACTCTTTTCCTAAGCAATATCCTTCACTCCCATGTCTTCAATTATCATCTAAAGGCTAATGATTTAGACTGTCCTATCCCCACGCCCTATTCTGCATTCCAAGCTGGTAGAGGTCACAGCCTACCTTGCACCTCTGCATGGCATCCAAAGACACTTTGTACTCAGCCTACCAATGACCAAACTCACCATCTCAATCTTAAATCTGCTTTTCCTCCAGAACTAACTTATTTCAGTGATAGCATCACCACCCAGTCCACTGCATGTGCCGAAAGGCCTTGCTATCTTGCTATACTTGTATTCCTCCCCACATTCAATCTGACACCAAGCCCTGCATGTTTTACCTACTCTGATGCCTTGAACCCATCCACAGCTCTCCATTTTCATTGCAGTCACTCTAATGGTGCTTATGTAATGTCTCACCTGCACTTCTGCACCTGCCTTCTGACCACTCTTCCTGTTCCCATTGGGTTCATTCTATGCACAGCAGTCAGTCTGCTGTTCCAGAATTGAAAATTATGTCATGCTACTCTCCTGTTTTCAATCCGTCTAGCTGCTAGCCATTGTTCTAAGAGTAAGATCCACACTACTCACTTTGGATTGCAGGCTCCCATCTGATCTGGGCTCCTGACTACCTCTCCAGCCTTGTCACCCACCATGATCTCCCTTGGTCAGCATCACTCCAAACCAAGGACGGCTTGCCTTCCATCCTTCAGGCACACTACAGTTCCCTTTGTTCCACGGACCTTCACATTTGCTCCTTCCTCAATCTGGAAAAATCTCACCTACTCCATCATTCAGTTAATGCCTCCTGACTACCAGCATCACTATTAAAGCTTTCCTTGAGCCACTGCCTTCTCAACAGGCTCTTGTCTACCTGATCTTACAGTTTCCTTTCCTTCATTGCTTTAATCACGTTAGTAATTACACATCTCATTAGTAGATTATTGATTAATCTCCTTCAGGCTTTATCAGAGCAGTGGTCATGGCTGTTGTCCTCAACATCATGTTCTCTTTGGTAGCACAGGACTTGGCTTTGTTAGGTCCTCAGCAGAGAATTAATAAATGACTGCCTAAAGAAGAAATCTCCCACTGCCCAGTCCCCGGTTCAGACTACCAACACTCTTCTGGGTATTGCAGCAGCCTCCTAGGTGGTCTCCAGGCCTCAGGACCCTCTTTGACTAGAGCATCCAACATCTCAAGACTGATCTTTCCCATCACAGATGCAGCCCCTTAACTCTGCACTTGCACGTGTACAAGCTTCTCCACAGCCACATGGTGGTAGAACCTATATATAAGTGCCCCCCTTAAGCTACCCCTGTCTACGCCATGGCCTCTGCTCCCACCATTCCTCACTCATACTTACATGTGTGCTGATAAAAGCAGCGTTAGATCCAACATAAACCACAATGCCTCACACTTTCATACTCCGCCCTACACTGTTTTCCCTACTCCTCCTCACTCTTCTTTATTTTCACAAATCCTATTCATCCTTTAAAATTCAGCTGAGAACTCATTTCCTCTCAGAAGCCTTCCCAGACCATTTGCTTGTCACACTTGTTTCTTTCTGATTCTTTTCCTGTCCCCCAAACACTGTCTATAAATCCATCCTTAGCACATATGTTAAAATGATCCATCGCTATTTCTAAATTCACTACCATCAGGCTGAAAGTTTCTCAACAGAAGAAACAATGCTTTTCATTTTCTGAATTATCAGGGTCTAACATAATCTTTGG